AGTAGTAGTAGTAGTAGTAGTAGTAGTAGTAGTAGTAGTAGTAGTAGTAGTAGTTGTTGTTGTTATCATCATCATCACCATCAACATAGGAGGAAGGATTTGAACCCAGGTTTTCCTGATTCTAAGTCTAGCACACTTTTCATTATGCTTTTCAAAAGTGGTAGTTTCTGCAAGGAATACACCTACTCTTATTGGCCTTCTATGTAAGAGGTTAAGAAAAAAAAAGTACCCAGTACTGGCCAGAGACAGAGTGTTTTCCAAAATGGTCAGGTTTCTGTGAGTTCCAGAAATGGAGAGTACAGAAGAAGAAAAGGTATAAGATGAAGGCAAATTTGTTAGCCACAGATTGGGAGTATTAGCACAATTGAGGAGGGGCGCAGAGGCCTTAGGAGCCTTCCAATATTTGAAGGGAGGACATTTGGAACAAGGAAGTAGAACATGTTCTGCATTATGGAGCACACCTTCCATGACAGTAGTGAATACCTTTGACAAGCATATATCCCCCTCTTCTTTGCCTAGTTTGACAAGGATAATCAGAGGGTTGTTGAACAATTACTTTTGTGGCTGCATTTATCAAAATATTATTGTAATATATATTGATCAACTGTAATTATATTGATTATAATATGTGTAGATCAATCAATGAACATTTATTAACAAATATGTGCCAGGCATGATGTAAGAAACTCCTTAGAGGAGAACCTTTAAAGCTGCATTTTTGCCCTATCAAATCTAATATGTATGTGTGCATATTGTGTTCTCTGTACCATTTTTGTGACTATAAAGATGTGACCTACCATAGAGAATCATCAAGGATACCTTGGATATGTATGTAGATCATTCCTACAAAGATATTATATAAAGATGAGAAAGTAGACACATAGGTTGGTAGTTACTGATGCAATCAATTACCTCTTTAGGGGAATAACATTATCAGTAATTTTCTCCATTCTTTTGGCATCTTCCTGGGAACTTCCTGAGATATCTAATAAAATTATTCCTTAGTGCTTTAATATTGTGTTGCTTACAAAATGATTCTTCCCCCACTCCTTATTTATTTATTTATTTATTTTAACATTCTTTTTTCGATTTTGAATTCCAGATTCTCTCCCTCACTCCTACAATTATGATATCAATTACACGTGTGAAATCATGCCAAACATATTTTCATATTAGCCATATCACAAAAAGCAAAAAAAAAAAGTTGAGAAAATTATACTTCAATTTGTACTCAGAGTTCATCACTTCTCTCTCTGGAAGTAGACAGAATTTTTTCATCATGAGTCCTTTGAAATCATCTTTGGAATCATCATTGTGTGTTGGGTAGCCAAGTCTTTCACAGTTGATCATCATTACAATATTGCTGTTACTGTGCACAATGATCTCCTAGTTCTTCTCACTTCACTTTGTATCAGTTCATATAGGTCTTGCCATGTTTTTCTGAAGCTATCAGTGTTTATTGATGTATCCCTTCTACACTAAGCAGGACATGAGGACAACCAGCTGAACAAGACAATAAAGATAGAAGAGACAAGGTGCTTGGGCAAAGTAAAGCTTTAACCAAGTTTACTGTTGGCCAGGAGGTGCTTGTGTCTCTGACAGCGCTGAGATGGTCCTACAGTAAATGCTACAGTATTCCTGATGTAGAAACAAAGAGACCAAGAAACTTTGGGAGGAGGAATTCTTCCCTGGACGTGATTCCACAATGGAGCTTCAGGAAAATGACAAGAAATGGGAGGCTGGGGATGGAAAATCCTGGGACAATTGAGTATAGGGAAATAAGAGTGGAAAGTGAGGCTGTCTTCACTGGCCTATTAGATGAAGGGTCAGTTAGATGTTGCCATACTGGGTCAACTCATGCAACTCCAAGCGGATAAAGGCTTCCCAGGGATAGATGACAGTGATATCCAAGCTTTCCTGTCTAGAAGCATCACCACTGAAACCTTGTACATCTTTCTTGGAGGACTTGCTTTTGAACTGCCAGGTTTGTCACTGCTTGAATTTTGGTGATCCTTTTCCTGGGGTAACTGGTCTCCTCACCACTCTGATAGCTGATCTGATCTCAGCTTTGGGTGGTAGCTCTAAGTTCATAATGGGGCTTTCAGTGTCTAATATTCTACTGTTAACCAGAGTTCAGCGGGCCATCGAGAAGGATCTGGCAAAAGGGGTTTTTTCCCCCACCTTTTCCACCATCTCTTTGTATCCACTCCTAGACTCTCTCCAATCATGCCTTTTGATCCAGAGATTTCACTACTGGGTTTATGATGCAAAGGGGTCAATGATAACAAAGAAGGACAAAAGCATTCACAGAAGCATAATATATAATACTAAAACTCTAGAAGTAAACTACATGGCCCTAAATTGGGGAATGGCTGACAAATTGTGGGATATTAATGCAATGGAATATTACTATATCATAAGAAACATATGAAGAATTCAGAGAAATAAGACTTTCAGGAAAGTGATACAGAGTGAAAGGCAGAGTCAAAAGAATAATATGCACAGTGATTCCAAAAAAATTTAAGCAAAGACAACAAAATTCAACTCAAACACAAATGATGCTACCAAATTATCCAAATTAAAACACTTATGCATCCTTTTTATTAAATAGTAGCCTACAAGTATTGAAAACGCTATTGGAAGGGCAGCTAGATGGCACAGTAGATAGACTGCCAGCCCTGGATTCAGGAAGACCTGAGTTCAAATGTGACCTCAGAGATTTGACACTTACTAGCTGTGTGACCGTGGGCAAGTCACTTTACCCCATTGCCTGTACCCCCCCCAAAAACACTATTGGGCTATTTTGCTTAAGTTTCCTTTGGGGATATGCTTTGTAAGGAGTTAGATCATTTGTCAGTAAGTACCTGCTGTGACAAAACAAAATGTATTATTGACAACAACAATAATAATAAGATACGAGGCTTTATTATGATTTCCAGGGTTTAGTAGACAACCTGAAAACCTTTATAAAACTAGTGTGGTTGGACAGATGGATTCAGAGTCAAATGGTCAAGTCAAGTGCTTTTTCCAAGCCTTATTCTCCTCAACTTAATGATGTGCCTACAGCTGGTCAGGAAAAGTAGGTAAGAAGCAGCAACTAATTGAGTTGATGCCCATTAAGTAAAAATAGGAGAAGGAGGGAAAGTGGGAGTAGAGTCACCTGAACTGGGCAGTTTATGGGATAGTCCACAGAGTACGACTGATTCAAAAAAGATAATTCATGGTTTTGTTTTCTTTGGTATACAACAATTAGATGGTCTTTTTCGGCTACTTTGAGTTGAGTGAAGGAACTCCTAAAATTAATGCCCTTTCAGTTGATTTTCTTAGAATGGATATTCTTGAGGACAAGATGCAAACTTCTTTGTTTTTGATCTGTACCTTGAGCTGGTTAGTAATTAACATCTTTACAATAAGGGGTGTATTCAGGTCTGCTTTCCCAAACGACTGTCTGGGACTAGAAGGGGAAACTGTCTTTTGTTCTCAAAATCACATTTCTGACTATCTTTCCAACTCCAAAGAATTCTCCCATGCATTTGATATTTTCTATAATAGGAGTTTTACTAGGAAGCCTAAGTTGTTGTTGTTGTTGTATTTTT